CTTGGTTGCTTGGAGTGTTCCTTTTAGTGGTTCTATCAGAAGGAGCTCCTGATGGGATTGTTGCCAGAGAGCCTGCACACGCAGACTATTTGCTTCCTGCTTTAAAACTTTAGTAGTGAGACTGCACCTGCCTGGACTGAATCTACCAGGTTGAACTCAATCCCCAGGAGGAGATGGGAATGTGGGGTGGGCTGGGGGAAGGCGGGTGGGGGAGAGAACAAGGGAATCCATGGCTGATATGTAAAATTAAATTAAATTATAAAATTAAAAAAAAAACTTAGTAGTGGCTTGACTGACAGGTTGGCCAACCAGCGATTCCTACAACCCTGGGAAATGCAATATTCCCACGACACCCTCTTCCTTGTTGGATATCTCAGCTACTATTGTTGTTTTTAAAGTTCTACCAAAATTCGTCCTCTTGCAAACTTTTAACAGCTCCTTCAGATAAAGCCTCTCAAACATTTCCCTTCCCTAAGATAAAAGCAATAATTCACAGAAGAAAACTTCTTAAGAGCAGTGTAAATCCGGTCTCGTGGGCTTAGCATTCTGTCCAGTTAATACAGGTCACCCACCATCCCTGCCATCCCTCACTCTCCCCACAGCATTCTTCTGAATCATGTAGAGTTATCCTTTAGGGATGGAGGGCGCTGCTGGGATATCCAATGCAAAGGCATCATTTTAGGCTGAAGAAACTGAATGGAAAGAAACTGGGAGGTAAAGAGTTGCTTTTTGTTGTTGTTTTTATGATTAAGCCACTACTAGGAAACTGTCAAATTTTGGACTACAGTGACTTCCACAAAAGGATTCTTTCCATTTCCTCTGCCCTCCAGAAATGCAATGGTCAGAAGTGTCTCACCACAGCTAAGAGGACTCAGCAGATGCCTGACACATGGGAGGCTTCACATAGTCTGATAGCTATAGCTGCTTTCCACATTCCAGCCAGGGAACGACACACAGGTAACTGGATTACGACTTCCAGTGGGTTTGTTGTTAAACACATACACTGCCATTTTAATTTCCTGTTTCTTTTTAAAAAGACGTTTACTTTTTATTTTTAATGACGTGTCTGTGCACATGGATGTGGGTGATCAGGGAGGACAGAGGTGTCAGATCTCCTAGAAATGGAGTTACAAGTGGCTATGAACCACCTGATGTGAGTGTTGGGTGGGAGTCAAACTCTACCATCATTTTGAAATGTCGCTAGCTTATGCTGAGCATGTAGACCAGATTCTCTGTTCAATACACTAATTTGGCCTCAAAAATCCATTAACGAATATTGTCATTAAACTAAGGAGATAATTACTTTGGATACATATGGAATGTACAAAATCCTAGGCTAACTGCAGCTAGTAGTGGTAACCGTGAAGCTAGTCATGTGCTACAATGAGAGACTTAAGAACAAAGACATCACACCAGTGCAGCACACACACACACACACACACACACACACACACACACACACACACACACACACACACAATTATCCTCCAGATAATACAGTTAGCAAATTCCTGAAAGCATGCTGGAGTCATCCAATACAGGCAATAGAGAACATTTCCAAGGTATTGGTTGTCATAATTTGAAACTACTAGTGTTTGATGAAGAGGGAAGCAAGTGGAATTTTGTTCTCTTTTAAGATACCACAGATGAAAAATTACAACTAAAGATTACTTCAATTTAAATATTATTCTCATACTCAAGAAAATGTAGTAGAAGATACAAGACCTCACCCGAGACTACTTTTAAAAAATCCTCATAGATTTCCTCATATCAACTTTCTTCAATTAATTGTTTGCTTGTAGGGGTGGTCTGCCTCTGTGCACCACATGCATGCAGTGCACGTAGAGGCTAGGAGAGGGCATCAGTGTGTTTGGAACTAGAGTTAAGAGACTGTTGTGAGCTGCCATATGTGCTGGGAATTGAACCAAGGTCCTTAAGAAAAGCAGCCAGTGAGCTTAATCACTGAGCAATCTCTTCCGCTCCTCCTTCACGTTTCTAAAATAACACTTTTTCCAAACAATTAAATATTTTTCTGGCCCTTTAAAATATTTTAAGGTTTATATCAAGGATATATCTTTTAATATTCCTAGATATCATTATGCTAAGCAGAATAAACAGATCCTGAAGGACAAATATTGCATGTTTTCTCATATATTAAATCTAGGCTTTGTGAAGGCAGAAAAATAGAAGGGGGGCCATTTAGGAAGAGGAAGGGGACTCCAGAGATGTGACTAAAGACAGAGTGAAACATATCAGAGGAGGATTGGATCAAAGTGTGCTACATGCATGTACAGAATGTCACGTTATTCTGTAAAAATAATACATGCTAATAATAATACCTTGGTTAGAAGGAGGTTTTATAAGCCTGGAGAAGCAATAAAACATCAGATATAATTCTGACAGTTGAGGATAGCTATCAATATTATTTGGATTAAGTAATATTTTTATTCATTTCAACTATCTCCAGATGCATTTCTATCTGAAAAAATCCGACAATCGGACCATGTCAAATATGCTTTTATAACTTCCTGTGTTTACTTACATAGATTATGGGTATTTTTATTTTAGCAATTTTTCTATATACATTTTAATGACTTCTTAACATGTTGAGACCAATAAGTGAATTTTAATATCTTTAGATGCCTCACGGGTTTCTTTATTATACACTTTCATAATAACATTAACATCCCCAAACTTCCTCCCATGTTTAGGTCTCACTGACTGTCCCTCAGTGCTGCCTTCAGATTGATCAAGTTTGAGTAAAGCTAACCTTGACGTTCACTTCTGGATGGTAAAGGTGAAAGATTATTCTGTCGGAGGGAAATTATTGCTTTTTTTTTTTTTTTTTAGATCCCACCACATTGATAAAACTTAGATACTCTTTTCACTTTTCATCCTTCATCCAGAAGGGGGTTTCTCGCTCCTGTCCTTACCCAAACAACATTATTACAAAATACTTGGTGAGTTTCTCCTTGGTCAATCACATCTGACTAGGTGGTTGTTTACTGTTCTTGCTGTTAGACTTTTGTATTCCAAGTTTAGAAGAGAAAAGAATTTGCGGCCCCAAGGGTAGGGGTGGGATGGGGACCCATCTCTAGGAGCTCAGCCATGCCTCCTTCCTCACAGGTTTCATGCCTTCACCATTCCATAAATGTTTCTGTCATTTACTTTTCCTGCCTATTTTGCCAAGCACTGCAACCACCTCACACGAGGACCTGAGACTCTGCGGAAAGTTTTCTTTAGGGACTGTAATTTAAGAACACAATCTGATAAATATGCCTACCATAGTAAAGTAATTCACCTGAGGACGTGACTCCGTTTGTCCTCCACCTGCTCCTCTGCTAGGAAAAAGGAAAGAGGAAGGGGAATGAAGAGGGAGAAGTGAAGAAAAAAAACGATAGGAGGGTCGGTAGGGTTTTTTGAATCTGAAAAATGACAGAAAATTAGTGCTGACACACTATTATGTAATATTTTCAAACCTTGCCCAACTTGAAATTTATATTTTATAAATTTTAGGGTTTTCATGACGTGTAGCACCCACTTCATATATAATCTTGAGAACAATTCCAATCACAAATGCATATGAAATTATTATTTTAGTTAATACAATTCTGCAAATAATTAATTTTATCCCTTACAAATCACTGACTCACCTTCTGCATCCAAATACCCTCAGTTTTCTACGTGTGATATGAATGGTTAATGAGTGTAGCCAAAGGATGCCAGAGGGATGAGCTTGTCCTTGATAGTGTCTTTTCCTTTTCAGGTTTTACGGACCAAAATCTAGCAAATGTGAATGAGCATAGAGACTGATGGAGATGGGGGAACGGCAATCACACAGAAATCCAGTCAAAGGACTTGATTACAAAATTACACTCTTCACTATGAATATAGTACCGTTAAACCTTCAGGGACTCATCATAACTTTAAATCTGAGTGTGTCCCTGTGGGCCACTTCTGTAGCTGGGAAATAAAAAGCATGCCTTTTATAAGCTTAAAACCACAAATAATAATAATAAAAAAAAACAAAGTTGGTAAGTGAGGTGTCGGAGTAGAAATCAATAAAGTGGCAGTCACCAAAGACACACATAACCTGTCATCAAAACATCAAATGGTTTATAAGGTCAGCCCACAAAAGAATAAAAGCAGTAAGCAATATACTGAACAGATCTGTTCCTTTGAAATCAAAGCCTGAGTTTTCAAACGTGAAAAAGATAGAGCCCTCAGTATGCAAGAAGGCCTAGTCAACCCTGGAAGGGCTTACCCTATTTTTTCTTCTAAATACTCTGTAACTAGAGCCAGTAACCCTAGATGTCTGGATAGATTACAGCATCACACCAGACAGAGTAGCATCTAGGGATAGTAAGAGGGTGCTCTCCTTGTGAAAGGGAGATGCAAATTAGCTCATCATACTGAAATTAAGAAGGAATATTAATGAGAATTAATAATTCAAATTGAGGAGATGAAAAGGAAATGCTAATCTATCACTTCTGTGCTGAAGTCACTCTTGACTTATTCTTACGACTGAAGGAAACTACATAAAAGCCGAAGTATAACATTAACTTTATAAATGAAACGTAAATGACTTTCAATTCCAGTTTCAGAGTTTCTTAAAGGCCCCGGAGCGTGTGCATCAGGAGCGCCACCAAGGGCGAAATGTATCTCAGCCCCTGGAATCTAAGCCTTTGGAATATGTGCAGGGGACAGTACTTTGAAGACCACTCTCTGTGACTCTTGTACACATTGAGTGTTAGGACGACTGTTTGAGGAGTTTCATGAGGAGAGAGGTCAGATGATCCTGGCTTCCTCTCTGCACCCTTACCTCCTTGCCCTGCCTGGCTTACAGCAGTGTAAGTCCCACTCCATTTACTTCCTAGTTTTGCTGGGAGATGCACAAAAGTGCTTGTTTGTCTTAAATTTAATTGGTTTTAGTTTGTCTGCTTTCCAATAACATACAATTAACTTTTGATGTAATTAACAGTTACTCAAGTTTCACTTACCTTCACATCTTCATGTTCATCCAGAAAGTTCTATATGTATGGAGGAGAGACTTCCAAGAATATGGCAAGTGAGTTGTCTCCTTTCCAAGGGTGTCAGCTGGCCTTCGAGACTCCTGAGGTGGGCAGCAGAAATGCCAGTCTCAAGCCAGTGGGGCTTGGTTATCTCTAAACAGAGCAGAAAGATGGACACCTGGTCACATGTAATCTCCAATCACCAGGATCTGACATGGACAAGGTTACTCTCAGTAAACTAACTGCGTTTCTAAATTTAAATTTGGCTGAGGCTTGTTGCTCCCCGATTTAGCTCAGTTGTCATTTAAAATTTCATGACATTGTGAATCAGCATCACAGGATGACTTCAACTACAGAGCAGTCGGCTGGAGTTCCTATGGTGGTAACTGACTATTTTTTTTCAAACAATGAATTAAGTGGGATAATTATTAACTTTATTTTTGATACATGGTGCTGAATTCATACTGAATTTCTAAGCCAAGGTTGATGAGGTCCCTTGGAAATACATCTTTACACAAAAGTCTATAATACCCTGTAAAACATAAAGATGGGATATTTTTACTAAGTCCCCATGGAATCTTCTGGTAATTTCGCTGTTTTCTTTCACGTGGGCAATGCTTGCAAAGATAATTAGGCATGCACAAGGATAAAAATCCTATCTAGTTCATATGTGTGGTAGTTGATGTTTTCCTACTCAGGAAAACCAAAGTTCTAGTGTCTTCGCTGAGTGAATTGAGCAGAGCTTAATAAAGATTAACAGAAAAGGAGAATAAAACACTTTTAAAAAATAGTTGATAAGCCATGCAAGTAATTTTCTGAAGGGGGAAAGGAAGGAAAAAGCACAGGTAAGTGTAAGATTATACGCAAAGTGACAAGTACACACTATAAAGCAAGCATGGGGGACCTTGCATGACAATAGCTCTCATGGAAAAGGCCCCAATGCCACTCAGCTACCCTTCCTATTTCCTGTGCTCACCAATAGAAATAAGAGAGATCATGTGACCATGTTGTAGACCATTAGCAATGGGAAATATATTGAATAAAAAATACTAGGAGAACTTTTATTGATTAATACGAAGACACGCTATACTTTTCACTTTTACACATTTGCTAGAATAGGGAGAGAATACTTGGAGGTAGGTAGCCATCCTGTTACTATAATATAAAACTCAATAAAACTTCAGAGAAGCATAGGTATGGACACCTATGGATGAGCAGCAGAGCCAATTCTACTAACTTTGGAAAGCTACTGGTTAATACCACCAGGTTTGGGGCTGCAGAGATGACTCAGAGGTGAAGACCATTGGTTGCTCTTCTAGTGGACCCAGGTTCAGTTCCCACCATCCACATGATGGCACACAACTACTGGTAACTCCAGTTCCAGGGGATCTGATGCCCTCTTCAGACCTCCTCAAGCACTGCATGCATGTGGTACACAAACATACACTTCAGCAAAATACTAATAAAACTAATAAAAATAAAAGAATACACTGGAATTTCTACTCCTTGTAAGAAGAAGCCTTTCTGGTGGACAAAATCCTCTCCAAACTGCTAAGCATGTGCTCTGCAGTGACTGTAGTGGTGTCTCTCTCTACTCTTTAGCATGTAGTCTTTAATTAGGGGAAGGTGCCATTCTGTACAGTCAAGGATGGAGGTAAGTATTTGCCTTCTTTTCAACTCCTAAGTGGGTTGTGCAAGTGTGGACTGATGGGACACAAGGAATGATAGATTTTATAACAAAAAGGGGTGGAAAGCCGAGATGCAGGCTAGGTTTGGAAGAATAGGGTCCATCATTGAAGAAGTTGAAAGATAGGGGCTCATTGTTGGCTCAGTGCCCAGACTATTACATTATTCAGACCTTTATTGAAAGGATTTCAACTTTCACCTCAGGGTCCTTTCTTATGATCTTGACAGTCCTTTGGATTCTTTCACTGAAATACTTTTCAATCTGTCCCTTTACTACTGCCTTCCTTTCATCTACGTTTCTTCCTTGGGCATGAAAAGAGCTCATCATCTCTTTCCTTGATGATATCCAAAGACTCTTTAACACATTTCTCCCTATTCTTAATCACTGCAACATGTCCTAGAATTGTCTTCAGATTTAACACCTTAAGACATTGATTTCATGGCACCCTTCTGTTCATAACACAGGAGTTCTCTCCAGGGCATAGAACTAAGTCTGAGTTCTTCTAGATGTCCTATCCTCTTCACAGTATTCTAGTTGGTTTGGTGGGAGGATTGGTCCTTACTCTGGAGGTATAACATAATTAGCTCAAGATAATTAGTGTGCCGCAGTCTCCAAAGACAATGAGAGGAATCAGTAGATCTCTAGTCTGGGCTTTTGTTGTCCAGGAAAATGAATCACTTGTGTTTTACTGAACATTTACATGTAAACATGGAACCTTTTTTCTGCTGCAACTGAATGCGTAGACATGATGCTGTCTTGAAATTATGAGAAGGGAACCTGCCAGAAATGGGGTGAACTCTAAGTTACCAGCGCTGAGAGATGGGAAGGGGGCTGGGTGATGCACATGTTGCTTCTTTCCTGGGTAGATGTTTGCAGGAACAGCAAGGGCTTTCCAGTTATCTGGGAGCTGAGAGCTAGTTCTTGGTTGCTTCAGTTCACATTGCTGTTTCTGTTTCTTTTTATTAAAAAAAAAAACAAAACCCTTTCAACCTATGTATATATTTACATACCTTATTCTTTATTTCACTTCTTATTCATGTTTAGTTTTTCTTATAATCCAGCCCCCTCCCCTTAGAAAACATTTCCAGAGTCTCATATTTTCTGAAAAACTACATTATCTTGGCCACTGTGGACACCAATAGAGACTCTCACTCTCTATGATGCTATCTCCTGAGAACGCTATATTTTAATTTTATTTTTCTAAATAACTGCAGACCTTTATATTTTTAGAAATTTGTTTTTGTTTATTTATGTGGTGTGTCTGTGTGAGTGTGTGCCACATGAGTGCTGCGGCCTGAGCTGAGGAGCCATCAGATCCCTTAGAGCTAGAGTTACAGGTGGTTGTGACTGCCTGACATGGGTGCTAGGAACTGAACTCAGGGTCTCTGGCAGGACAGTCCTTCCAGATTCCTGCTTTACAGAAAATCTGTCAGATATTCTAGGCCTGTAGGCTGAAGATGGATGTCCCAACATTGCAGAGGAACCTTCAGTGACTGGCCAGGAAGCCAGATGTTTCTGTCATTTCTATAGCATATATCTACACTATAGTATATATCTAGACTTCCTGTTTACTCAGGTAATATTATCTCCTTCTCAGGTCTCTGATGGAGTTATACTTTTCCTTGTTTCCAAATTCAGAAAAGAAACTCACAAAAGAGGTATAAAGTGTATAAGGTTGAGAGACATAAAATCTTAAATTGTTTATGTAAGAAAATGTTTTGAGGTCTAAAAAGATAGTTTTGGGTTGGTAATGTAAGTTATGATAAAAATGGTTTATGTATAAAACCTTGAATTCATCAAGATGAGATAGATAATAGAGTAATTTCTCCAAATGTGCCAAATACAAGTAGACTGATATTGTAAATATAATTTTTGCTTGGTGATTGTTCTTATTGTATATAGTTTTACTATGTTAGAGTTAAAACTCTTTATTTAGGAAAAAAGGAAGAAATTTTGCAAGATATTTGATTACACTGTGTAAAGCTATGTCATTGTGATTGGTTTAATAAAAAGCTAATTGGCCAATAGCTAGGCAGGAGGTATATAGGTGGGACTTATAGACAGAGAGGGCTCTGGGAAGAAGAAATGGGGAGTTGACAGCAAATGCAGAGGAAGCAGGATATACAGGAGGAGAGGTAAAAGCCATGAGCCACATGGCAGCATGTTGGTTAATTTATGTTATAAGAGCTAGTGAGGAACAAGCTTAAGCTAAGACCAAACTTTCATAATTAATAAGTCTTTGTGTTATTATTTGGGAGCTGGCTAGTGGGACAGAATAAGTCTCATTATACCAGATTGGCTTCAAATTTACAGCCCTTTTACAGCCTCCCCAGCATGGACTGGAGACAAACTCCATTGCTTTGGGCTCCTGGATAATGTGAGTCTCTATTTTCCTCCTTCTTTCTATATCTATTCTTTCTTTGGTATCACTTCACCAAAATCATGCCGTTTGTTCAGTATTTAATATGGCTTTTTGCTTCTTTCTCTTTCCCATACTATATTTCCCCCTGCATTATTTCCTTCTCTTAGCATCTAGTGTTATCTTTAATTTTTATGACTGATCATGCTAAAACCTTGCATAGAAACTTTCAATGCATTACAAATATTTTTGGGATATGAATCAACATTTTACGTAGTTTCATATCCTCTAAACCTTGTGTTAATTTCCAGCCTCTTGCTGGGTACAGGGGTGTGCACATGTAATCCCAGCACTTTGGAGACAGTGTCAAGAAAATTGTGAGTTTGAGGCAAGCCTGGGTTGTATAGTGAGATCCTATCTATCTCAAACAATGAAAAGGAAACAAACCACATCACAGCATTACTTCCAGAAATTAAGGACCCTTTCTGTTTACTTCATTTTTAGTTACATAACATTCAACAAAGTGCTTAATAGATACCTAGCACTCCATAAATGTAAATAACCTATGAACCGTATTATCAAGTTTTGCTTCACGCTTTCATTTCTGGGTTACTTATAAGCCTGTTGAAGGTAAAGATATGTCTGGTGTATTTGTTGGTAACTGACAGCAGATGCCATACAAGCAGCAGAGTTAAGAGGTATTTGATTTGTTAATGTTGATAATGCACTGTAGTTCCTTTTTAAAAAGATGGTTTCTCTTCTCTTATAAATGGCTAGGTTATTACTTCTCTACATTATTAGAAATAAGCAGGGGGAAATATATTATTTTGTCAAAAATCAGGAAAAACAGAAGTATGTTTGATTCTTTGCTGAGAGGGCCAGGCAAATATCATGACAGCCTGCCCTAATAACTCAGTTAAGAACTAGGTTTTGGTCCATGCTTTTTGGAACTGAGCAAGCAGTTTCTGAGAAAGAGCCACAGACAAAGGACAGTCAATCTCCAACACCCCTGACAGCAAGGACAAGGAGGCCTGCTTGCCTGAGCAGGCCATAAACAGCTCAAGATGATAACCACATAAGGACAAACCCTGGGACTTGTCCAGGCCT